GCTCAGACGATGCCTGGAGAGGTGAACAGCACACTGGGAACAGCAGGTGAGAGACTTAATGTTGTAGTTCTCAGGTTTAGACACCAGAGGGCATGTCAAACTGTTTGAATGGTATAGTGAGGTGTCCTAAAGGGATAACTGGCATACCTAAATACTATCTCAAAAAGCGTGTTCTTTTTGTTGTAAAACTCTGTGAGGCATGCTGGAGGTCTAGACCTTTATTTTAAGCTGTTTCCAAAGTTTTCTTATCACCAGTGCTGTCAAAAATTAAACGCATGAAAACTACATTTATATTTACATTTATTCATTTGGCAGACGCTTTTATCCAAAGTGACTTTTGAGGAATACAACAAACATAGGATGGCAATAAACACGAGAAGTGCCAGATCTCTGTCATCGTTCAAAATAGTAAAAGCTAGGACAGGAAGCGAATAAGGGATACTGAGAGCAAAGAAAAAAGTATTTTTTTAAATTTTATCACCAGTTGTATTGATAAACATAAAAAATGTTTAACAAATGGTAGCATTAGTTTGAAATATATATACCTTTTATATATTCAAATATAAAAGGAAATTTAAGTGTTAAATATAGCTTCTAGCTTCAGTGTTATTATTAACAAACTATTAAAAAAAATTTAAGTGAATTTAAGCTATAATAAAATATTAATATTAGATGAAAAACCTAAAGGCAAACAACTAGAAATACCTTGGCAACTAACTGAAATAAAAGTTTAAGTACTACAATTACTAAAACTACAACTGAAATAAAAATAAATTAAAGCTGAATAATAATATTAAAAGTATTAAAGTGACAAAAGCACATAAATTGATTACAACTTAAACTAAAATTAAAAGGGAAACTGAAACTGTAAAAATAAAAGCTAATAAAAAAATGTTAAATACCATAATAGCGTATAAGTAATAAAAATAACACTTTGGTATCTATAGCATTGTGACGATTATCACATTGTTTTCTTTCTCATTTCTAGCATACATGGCTCCTGAGGTCATCACTAGAGCAAAGGGTGAAGGTCATGGTCGTGCTGCTGATATCTGGAGCCTTGGATGTGTTCTCATAGAAATGGTCACTGGAAAGGTAAAACCTGGTCTATGTGCATGCATTATGCCTGAGTTTGGTCTAATTCTTTATTACCCATGTGCCAGCTTTACTTCAAACTGGTTTGAAGATAGCGTGCTGTTGTGAAAACATATCCGCACTGCGTTCATTCAACACCAAATCCAAAGGAATTTTCTGGGCTTGTCTACACATGCCTAAACAACCAAAATAGTACTGCTGGATAGGGCTTCCTGAAACATAATTAATCAAATTTCCACCAATTACAACAAAACAATTAGGATATTCACCAGTTTTAAAGTTTATTCGTCTTGTAGTACCATCATTTAGTGACTGTGTTTTTAGTGGGTGAACTGTAAAAAAAATCTACAAACATCATGCTACTGTAAGTAACTCTGTGTGTGTTCCATTCTGTTTGCTTAATTCAGAGACCTTGGCACGAATATGAGCATAACTTCCAGATCATGTATAAAGTGGGAATGGGCCACAAACCACCCATTCCTGAAAAGCTGAGCTCATCGGACAGGTGTGCAACACCCCCAAGTCTTACGACAACGTCATGCACGTGGGTCTGCGCAAGGTCACATTCAAATGGCAGAGAGGCAACAAGATAGGTCAGTGGTCAAAGTATGCTTGCATTACATAGCAGAGGCCTTTCTTGTTACATTTTCAGTTTTTCTCTTCGTTGACAGGTGAAGGGCAGTATGGAAAGGTTTACACATGCATCAATGTGGACACTGGTGAACTGATGGCCATGAAGGAGGTATGTGCCTGAGACTGTTATTCATTTAATTAATATATTAATTAATTTATATATATATATAAATAGATATATATAAACTTTATTAACTCTAACTGAATTTGCTACCAGATTCGCTTTCAGCCCAATGACCACAAAACCATAAAGGAAACGGCCGATGAGCTGAAGATCTTTGAAGGAATCAAACATCCCAATCTTGTCCGCTACTTTGGTGTGGAGTTGCACAGGGTAAAAAAGTGTTTGTGTTACGTCAAGGTCTGCTGAAGTCTTCTGTACGTTTATTCCTCATTGTTCCTCATTGGCTCTTGCAGGAAGAGATGTATATCTTTATGGAGTACTGTGATGAAGGGACCCTGGAGGAAGTGTCTAGACTGGGTCTGCAGGAACACGTCATCCGCCTCTACAGCAAGCAGATCACGACGGCAATCAATGTGCTCCATGAACACGGCATTGTCCACCGTGACATTAAAGGTGTTCATTTATTGCTTCACTTGCACCAAGATTTCCTTTCCTCGTTTACTTTTTTTCTTCATCAAAATGATAGATTCCATTCTGGGATACAGATGTACAAAATTACATTTTCATAATTAGCTAGTTAATGGAATGTCTAGCTAATAATTATTTTGTTGCATCACTATTTATTGTTCTTCTTTTACTACCCAGGAGCCAATATCTTCCTCACGTCATCGGGCTTGATAAAGCTAGGGGACTTCGGCTGCTCAGTGAAGCTGAAGAACAATGCTCAGACGATGCCTGGAGAGGTGAACAGCACACTGGGAACAGCAGGTGAGAGACTTAATGTTGTAGTTCTCAGGTTTAGACACCAGAGGGCATGTCAAACTGTTTGAATGGTATGGTGAGGTGTCCTAAAGGGACAACTGGCATACCTAAATACTATCTCAAAAAGCCTGTTCTTTTTGTTGTAAAACTCTGTGAGGCATGCTGGAGGTCTAGACCTTTATTTTAAGCTGTTTCCAAAGTTTTCTTATCACCAGTGTTGTCAAAAATTAAACGCATGAAAACTACATTTATATTTACATTTATTCATTTGGCAGACGCTTTTATCCAAAGTGACTTTTGAGGAATACAACAAACATAGGATGGCAATAAACACGAGAAGTGCCAGATCTCTGTCATCGTTCAAAATAGTAAAAGCTAGGACAGGAAGCGAATAAGGGATACTGAGAGCAAAGAAAAAAGTATTTTTTTTAATTTTATCACCAGTTGTATTGATAAACATAAAAAATGTTTAACAAATGGTAGCATTAGTTTGAAATATATATATACCTTTTATATATTCAAATATAAAAGGAAATTTAAGTGTTAAATATAGCTTCTAGCTTCAGTGTTATTATTAACAAACTATTAAAAAAAATTTAAGTGAATTTAAGCTATAATAAAATATTAATATTAGATGAAAAACCTAAAGGCAAACAACTAGAAATACCTTGGCAACTAACTGAAATAAAAGTTTAAGTACTACAATTACTAAAACTACAACTGAAATAAAAATAAATTAAAGCTGAATAATAATATTAAAAGTATTAAAGTGACAAAAGCACATAAATTGATTACAACTTAAACTAAAATTAAAAGGGAAACTGAAACTTTAAAAATAAAAGCTAATAAAAAAATGTTAAATACCATAATAGCGTATAAGTAATAAAAATAACACTTTGGTATCTATAGCATTGTGACGATTATCACATTGTTTTCTTTCTCATTTCTAGCATACATGGCTCCTGAGGTCATCACTAGAGCAAAGGGTGAAGGTCATGGTCGTGCTGCTGATATCTGGAGCCTTGGATGTGTTCTCATAGAAATGGTCACTGGAAAGGTAAAACCTGGTCTATGTGCATGCATTATGCCTGAGTTTGGTCTAATTCTTTATTTACCCATGTGCCAGCTTTACTTCAAACTGGTTTGAAGATAGCGTGCTGTTGTGAAAACATATCCGCACTGCGTTCATTCAACACCAAATCCAAAGGAATTTTCTGGGCTTGTCTACACATGCCTAAACAACCAAAATAGTACTGCTGGATAGGGCTTCCTGAAACATAATTAATCAAATTTCCACCAATTACAACAAAACAATTAGGATATTCACCAGTTTTAAAGTTTATTCGTCTTGTAGTACCATCATTTAGTGACTGTGTTTTTAGTGGGTGAACTGTAAAAAAAATCTACAAACATCATGCTACTGTAAGTAACTCTGTGTGTGTTCCATTCTGTTTGCTTAATTCAGAGACCTTGGCACGAATATGAGCATAACTTCCAGATCATGTATAAAGTGGGAATGGGCCACAAACCACCCATTCCTGAAAAGCTGAGCACAGAGGGGAAGGACTTCCTGGCCCACTGCCTGGAGAGTGAACCGAAGCGACGCTGGACCGCCAGCGCTCTGTTGGACCACCCGTTTGTCAAGGTATGAACTCCCTCTCACCCATACAGCTAGTTATTTCCTTCAGCTGATTCATAGGGTCACACATATGATGAAGATGAGGTTTCTCTGACAAATTTCCAATCTGTTACCCAAATTAGATCCAACCAGCATTTGTAATACATCCACCAACATGTTACACACTTGAAAACACATGAACCAGACCCTGACACAAATAAATTCTCACTTTGAGCACTAAACACCGACAACCAATGACTTATTTTAGTGATGCACTGAAATTTGGCAACTAAAAATATTTGGCCAAAAATGAATTTTGGAAGGCTTAAATCATTGAGAAACTGTGTGAACAGTACGGCTGGGTTGACAATATTGATTCCACAATTACAGTTAATTAATTACAGTGCATCACTAATGTAATTACAGAGGGGTGAGGTAGACCATCACATGCTGTCACCTGATTGGCTGCTTAAATGAGGCTGATGGAAATGGCACTAACACGTCAATCTCGTGTCTTTTCAATTGCAGGTCTGCACAGATGAAGAGTGACGGGGAAAGACGTGTATTCTTTTAATGTTTACATAAATGCTAGCACTACTTCGCACGGCATGAGGGAGGACGAAGGTTAAAACAGACGCGCTCTGCTCGATACGAGCCCCTCGAGATGTTAAGAGCGGGGCAAGTCTTACATGTACAGTAACATGAGCAAATGGGATGGAAATGTTTGGACAAGTGCGTTATGTACATACTGTAAGAATAGGGTTAGGGTTTTTCTGTGTACAAAGCATATTGTAAAGCTGAAGTTTAATAGCCACTTTGTCGGTGATCGAGTCACAGGGAATACATGTTAGGAGACAGTACATTAATTCAAGGGATGTTCTCTGCACAAAGCATCAGAGAATGGGAGATGGAGGGAGTTTGACATTGACTGACTGTATGTACAATTTCAATGAGTGTTCACTGAAGAAAGCATACAAACCTGGGGCTGAAAGTCACAGTAGAGAAGGTTTTAATTTTCTTTTTTTGTTTTGTTAAAATGGTATTTTTGTTTGCCTTGCTGCAGAGCCCACTGTTAACAAGTCATATTTAAGCCTATAAGTAGTTGTGCTGCGTTGGCTCAGCCTCGTGCTGGCCAATGGCGTGCCTTTACCATCTGGGTGTACAAGAGCATAATCAACCAATGAGAGGGAAGAGGCCAGTCTGACTCCGCCTTTCTGCTGCTGCACTCGGATGGGTGGACAAACATGCTCTTACACAGGCATCAACTGCTGGTTCTCTGCTCCTCCAACAGTGTTTGCAATATTTAAAAAATAATATTAATAAACAGACAGTTTTTTTTAAATGGCCTACTTGTCTCTTTAAAAAAAAACATGAAAATCAAAACAGAGAAGCATTTTAAATGATTCAAACAGCTCTTTCATGTGGCGACTTCCTCAAATTTCACTTACGAAGGTGGCTGCACTTGGCTAATGCCAGTTCCCGTTGTGAAAATGCCCTCATGACTGTAAAGTAGCATGATCTTGTTGCCCTGGTGGAAGTCTCAGTTATTGTTTATTTGCATCTTTATTCCCGTAGTTCGAACCCTTGTCAATCTCGGTCTGTCCAATCATCCAGCGGATACCAACTGACACTAAAAATAAAAGCAAAAATTTGTCAGTTACAGCGCAACAGCCAGTCACATTAGCATGCTTAATAACTAAACTAGGGCTACAAGCACTCGGATTCATATTATCATTCATTAGATCAGTGGTTCTCATGAAGGGGAGTTGACTGGGCGGGTGAGTGCAGAAGATTTCATTATTAAAAGCATGATTATTATTAATAGAGATAAAATTATCTATTTAAACTCTAAAAGCACAAAGATATAAACTCATATATAATGTTAACTCTTAAAGGGGTCCTATTATGCTTTTTCACTTTTTTAATTTTAGTCAGTGTGTAGTGTGTATGTTTGGGCATAAAAAAGATCTAGAAAGTTACAAATCTCAAAGTCCACTCCAAAGGGAGATATTTCGTTTTTTAAAAATCCCTTTTCAAGAACTACAACAAACGGCTTGTTTGGACTACAGCATTTGTTTTCCGGGCTTTGTGATATCACAAAGCGGCCCATTAGAATATCATTAAAAATAATTCCCGCCTACAGAAATCCGAATGGTTGTGGGGTGGGGAGGGGCGAGGTTGTGGTTAGAACGCTTGGTTGAGTGCATCAGACGAGACGATGCGGACCTTCATCAAACCCGGAACTAATCGAGCCGTTTGTGCCAGGCTGGGGAGAAAGGTATTGTAATGTAAATTATGTGAAAAATAATGAAAAACGTTTTTCGAACCACCAAGCATGAGAGCATGTTCTAGTACACCCCCAAAACAAAATCAAGACTTTGTAAAAGAGCATAATAGGACCCCTTTAAATTATAAAATTTATTTTCCCCCCTCAATAACTATTGTTTTTAAGAACATACATACAGATCCTGAAACTTCTAAATCATACAGTATGTAAACAAGGTCTGTCATAATTACAGCAGAAATACTGAAAGTGGCCTATATATTGTGCTGGACAATGGGAGTGTTAAAGAGTCAAAAAGGCTGAGAACCACTGCATTAGATCATAATACAAACAGGGTTCCCACGGACATGGAAAACCTAGAAATATCAGAATTTTAAACTTTTGAAGCTTGGAAAAGTCATGGAAATTTGTGAATGGGAGAATATAGATATAGCTATGCTTGGCTATCTTCTACTAGAAATTACTCCATAAATTCATTTTTAAAAATAGTTTTTCACAGTAATCGTAAGTCATTGAAATTCCTTGGTCAACAGGTGTGGGAACCCTGTACTAAGTAAAGGGAAAATGAAAGCCTGAAATGAAAGATTTATTTAAACAACATCTAGTAGATGCATGATGTCTTATAGTGTATCTGAATCATGTAGTTCAAGGTTTGTTTTGTGTGCATTTAGTGTTTAGATTAAACTTTTACCTCTGAAATGAATCTTTAATCCTATTCTCACATGCTATGGTATTTAAGGGCACTTTCAGTGCATTAAAATGTGTCATTCATTCATGCGCTTATGAATTGACCAGCATGCAGTAAATCCAGATAGAAGTGGTTGATATACTTACAGCTATCGCACCTAACTGGCCTCCTTTATATATTTTTTGAAAAAACAGATTGGGGGAAAATAGCAGCAGTATATAATTCCTTTGTTGCTTGATGACAAAAAAAAGATTGACTAAAAATCATCTGCTGCAATCTTATTATTTTGCTATTTGTTACACCAGCTTATATTATAATCAATAAGAAATAACCACCCCATGCCCTTGTCCTTATCCCAAGTACCTGCTAGACAGAAGACAAATGTACAGACGACAGAGAAGGTGGATCCTGATAGCAGCATTTGGAGCAGTAACATGCAGAGAGGGTAGACCAGCAAACAGACCCAGAAGAGCCAGTTCAGCAGGGCCCAAGGTCGGCGCGGAGGGCTTGTAATGGGACCCGGAAAACGTCCTGTCTGTCTGTAATGCTCTTGGAATTCATCCTGTGTGAGTTGGCACAACAAAATTACTTCATGCCCATGTTTGTCCAATATGGATATGCTAATACCAGCACCAGTGTTGTTCTTGTTAACTACAATTAAACTATTAAAATGTTTTCATTAACTGAAAATACAGCTGTTTGTTGCCAACTAGTTTTCTAATTTTTAAGTACTAAAACTGAAATAAAAAATAAAGCTAAATAGAAATACTAAAAAAGTCATAAATTGACCAGATCATGTAACAAAAAAAAAAAAAGAGCCAATTCAAAATATTAATACATGCTATAATACTATTCTAAAATGACAGACCAGCACAAAAACACCTCCACCTAATGCAGGTAGTGCACTTACTTTGTCCTGATAGAGTTTGTAAAGCCAGGCCGCGCATTCAGACTCCTCCTCTGGGATTGTGTCCAGAGGAATCCGCCTAACAAACACACAAGGAAATCCATGAAGGTTTATCTTAATCTTGCTGCTGACAACGCTTTCATATAGGAAGCCATTAAACTAAAACATTTCTAAATGATTATGGAGACTGCATGTTGAACTTTGTTATAGCAGGAGATATTATCACAGATCATTTAATATACAACAGGCTGTTAAATATTGCCAAAGGGCAATGTGAAGAAGATTTTTCTTTCATTCCTACCTCACATATAAATCAGCATGGTATTTTTTCCCGTTGAGTACTCCTAGTAAAGTTGGCATTTCGTTGTTTCGGAAATTAAGTGTAGAATCGTACACAGCAGTAACTACAGAGGAGACACAAACCAAGTCAGCGAGCCAAATTCTTAGAGGCTACATTGGCCAAAAATACATAATCTTTCACTTAAAGTATTCAATTTGAAAGACATCAACAGAATGATTTGCATTAACTCACTGGAAGATCAATGAAAGCATTGTCACTATGGGTTCATCATTACTTAAAGGGACAGTTCACCTTCAGTTGCTGGTCCCCATTGACTTCCATTGTATGGGGAAAAAAACACTATGCAAGTCAATGGGGACCAGCAACTGAAGGTGAACTGTCCCTTTAAAGGCCAAGAAGCTCTCACCCGTTCCCCTGAGGTTCTGGACCGTGACACAAAAGCCCTTGGTCCGAGGGAGAAGGTGGTACTTGAGTTTGGGCAGACCTTTCTTCTCTGCCACCTCCATACTAATCTTGTGCTTCTTTTCTGTGAAACGTGTGCCCTCACAGTGCAACAGGAACTACAGACACATCATAAAAATTAACATCAACCACACAAGGGGACAGAAAAGCTTAATACAATACGGGATATAGTGTATTTGTTAAGGGAACAGTTTACCCAAAAATTGACTTATTAATTGTCACATGGACTACATTCATGGTGCTATTTGGAACAATGACAAACTGTCATGACATGGAAAGAGCTGCCTGAATATTTTTCAGAAATTCTCCTATTATGTTCCACAGAAAATATAACAGCATTTGGGCTGTGGAACATGAGGGTAGGTAAATGATGATTTTTTTTTTTTTGGGTGAACAGGTTAACTATTCTTTTAAGTAATTGTGCATCTAAGATAAAAGAAAAGACATCTGAAATCAAGTAAAATCACCAGAGTACAATGTGCAATGAGATTTCACAAATATACCCAAAAGTTTTCTGGGTAATCACGAAGGTTGTGCAGGCTTTGCACTACTGTCTTGCGATCCTCTTCCCATTTCCTTTTGCAGAAGACAATTTCCAGGAAGTACCACATCCAGCCAATCACAGGAACAAAGGAAAGTTCCTTTTTTGCCAACACCTTTGAGCTCTGAAAGCAAAATATGATGAAAACAATTGCAATCTGCATCATGACTGTATTGAGTCTTTAAAAATAATTTAGAATCACACACTTGTTAAGGTGCGGGAAAGTTGAGTTTTTGTATGAAACTGTATTTTTGTCTTACCCCTAAAACACCAAATCTCTCACAGAAGGTCCAGCCGGTCATAAAATCTATCTCAAAGTTATGATTGAGGACAACAATGGCGTTTTCTTTGCCATAGAAAGGATAGCTTTCTGGATCTGTGTAAAGTGTGCATTCTGTCCCGGACCACCACTCCAACAATGCCACCAATTCTGAACAAAACAACAAAAAATACATACTGAATTATGATGTATATAATGCAGGATGCATTTACATATTCATGAATGTGAAGTAGTCCAACAAGTTCATCAACTTTGTATGTAAATAGAGCAATTTGCAAAATTCAAAAATATCAACTTTCTGTTCTGTTACCCTCAGTGCAACACCGAGGTTGTCAAACAGGAAATAATGGTTGTAAGTTTTGTGCATCCTACAATACAATCATGGTACAAAGCAACAGGTGAGACATGATAATCATGATCTCCATGACTGTGACAAATATTATTGACCACTTTTTACTTTGTTACTATTTTTATGCGATTTTGTCACTTCATGCTGTACTTCTTTGTCAGTGCAGACAAAGTAAGCACTGGAAGCATGTTGCATCATGGCTGGTTATGACAGTATCTTTCTTTGGAAAATGTGAGGCCACATGTGAGAGCTTGCAGGACTTACGACTAGAAACGGAATAACCCAATCTGCAGTTGATCCTGCGTGCGAGTTGCTTGTTAATATACCACAGTGGTAGAGTACAAAGCTGGAGCAGGTTGATAATAAACCCACTGACTAGGAACACATAACAGATAATGAGATGACACAGCAGCTGGGTTTTCAGTACTTGAAGGATTCCCATCCTTATCATGTAGTCTTGACGTCTCCTGTCTCCACTAAATCCTCTGCAGAGAGAGAGAGAGAGAGAAAAAGAAAAATATAAATAACTTTCATATTAACCAGAAGACTGTTATGAATAAAGATGGAAAGCACCTCCCAAGATATGTTGCACATGTAAAAAACTGTGTTTGAAATATGAAAATCTACCTGAGCCAATATTCAAATAGCATGGTTGCAACAAAGAGGAATAAAGTTCAGGTTTTTTTTCATTCCTCTTTACCACACCAACCCACTTGAATGTTGTGAAAATGGTTTGTAAATGTGTGGGAAGCGTCATTTTCAAGAGTAAATAGTTCATTTAGAAGCAGTGTTTGTGAGAGAACTGAGAAGACCATTAGCTAGCACAGAGCAAGATGAGACCTGTCCCTATCATCACTGTCAGCTCTTACATGTGAAAGTCTCTCAGGACACAGGGCAAAGGCTGAAACAGAAATGTCACAGTGTTACTTGTGTGGCTGTGTGTCTACTGTGTGTTTTGGCATAAGCACATTCCATTTGAGGGTGCAATGTTGTCTGCACACTCTCTGCTAGTGGTCACAGAAAAAAAGTGTGAACTTTGTTTTAAATCAAATAGTGTAAAACAAATACTTGCAGTTATACGTGTAGAAATGAACCAGACCAGATTCTAGGTTGATAAAATGTAAAATCTATTTGCAGTAGTCGAGGGGATTTTGATTCATTTCAGTTACTCAAATCTTTTGCATCGGTTCACTTAACAGAGTCGTCCACTGATTTGACTCTTTCCGCAAGTTCTCTTGAGCAAGAACCTGGCAACAAGTGAGTCATTGAATCAATTACTGAATTCGTTAAAAACACTAAGCTGATCGAAACATAAGCATTCACAAAGCAGCACGAACATTTGATAATAATAACCTTATATAAGACAATATTATATAAAATAAATGTATCTTATAGTCAGGCCACGAATTATCCAGAACGGTCACAGGCTTCAAATGCGAGAGAACTAAAAATATGAGACAGTCTGTAGAAATAATAAAAAAACTATTCGTTCACTTTAAAAAAAAAAAAACACATTCATAAACATGGAGAAAAACGACTAATTTGTACTAGTTTAACACTACAGGGTGCGCCTTGTTTGGACTATCAGTTCAGCCTGATTTAACCTTCACACTCACCGGCAGGTAACTTACGGCTGTCAATTCGCCAACAAAAATGTCACTTTATTCTTTTTAAGTACAGATTCGGTTAGTTCACAGTATATTTGCTACAGTAGCAGATAAATCTGTCTCTTCTGGCTATTTGTGTTTCACTTAAATGTTTCGTTTTGTTTGCCTTGGTATCATAAGCATCAAGAGTGAACGGACAGCCATTGAAAACAACGAGCAAAACTCGTGCACATGTTAGATCGCATACAAAGAAAAGAACGGCACTTTAGAAGACAAAAATACCTTTTTCCCTTGCGCGGTTAATAGTAGTAGTAGTAGTAGTAGTAGTAGTAGTAGTAGTAGTAGTAGTAGTAGTAGTAGTAGTAGTAGTAGTAGTAGTAGTAGTAGTAGTAGTAGTAGTAGTAGTAGTAGTAGTAGTAGTAGTAGTAGTAGTAGTAGTAGTAGTAGAGCATCCGTCTCATCATATGGAGCTGATTAGAGAGCGCAACAGAGATATGAATCTGGAGGATGTTTTAAGTTGGGCAGGACAGGCTGAGAGAGATTCCAGCGTTTAGTGTACGGAATATATGACCACACCCCGGCAAAAAGACACTGCGCGAAGAGCACTGGAACGTGGGCAGGGACTTCAGAGGGTCATTATGTAATTTCCTCTGTTCAAAGCCAACGCTGCTTCGGTGTCTTTACACAGGCTGCTTCACACTGTTCACTTCGACCGGCAGATGAACGTAATTGCCAAGCACGCTGACAACTGTAGGACATCACCTTAAACGTGGGGTGTACACACCCAATTATCAGAATGATTGCCCCCTCTACTGGATGAGAAGAGCTTGGCTGGGCTTTATTTCAGTGACAAAAGAAAACTGTTGAAAAAAGCTCAGTTTTTCTATGAGAGAGAAACGTTTGATAGGATATTAGTAGATATACATTTTGCTTTTGTTTTGTTTGCATTAGAGAAAGAATTGACATGCTTTTCTTTGTTCCTAACAAAAAGCCTCACATGACAGCTGTCAGAATTTGTATTCAGGCCCAATGATGACTTAAATATTAGTACAGAGTTGCAACCCTGAGAAATACATCATATTTGTCAGGATCCAGCAACATTTTTGTCTTTTGAATAAATGACTGTTCTTAAAGGGATAGTTCACCCAAAAATAAAAAATAAAAAAAATAAAATTTTGGCATAATTTTCTCACCCTCATGTCGTTCTGAACCTGTATGACTTTCTGTCGTCTGTAGAACACAAAAGAAGATATCAAAATATGATGTAAAAAGTCTCTTCTTTTGTCCACACAGTAAAAGTCAGTGGGGTCCAATGTTGTTTTGGACACTATTGACTTTCATTCCATTGACAAAAACCTGAGACAATAATACATTTTAATGTAAATGATCAGAAATTTTGAACCATCAATTTGGACATTTATTTGATACCATACAGTTAATCTATCTAGGCAAATGTTTCTGAAATAACGATTCAACCATCAAGATCATCAAATTATAATACAAAGGAGCAGGTTCTGCCCTCCACTGATTGAAAAATGATTGAGGTCCACTTTCCATTCGAAGCTCTCAGCTTTGCTTTCATTTCTAGTGACATTAAGAGAGGCTCTCCACCAGCATCAAAAGACCTGCTATGACATGAAAATACATAATTTATTCAGTGATTCACAAACCATGTGGAAAGGCCATTCACCAACAAAAAATATAGAGGGTCAGCTGACACCATACTATCCCGTAGAGATGGGACAAGGGACTGAATGCTCTCTGAGACAGAATGAACCTCGCTTTACCACAGTGCTGTACGTCTGCCACCCGGAGGCAAAACATGAGATCCTCACAATCGCTGAGGTCACCACCTGTCAGTATGAGGTAGTGGTGCTCACACCCCTCCTCTGTCCTCACCCGAAATACAGGTACATACACAAACACATTCAGTTTCCATAGTTTATCATACTAAATAAGTGGATAAAGATTAGTTATTGATTTCTGTTCACTATTTTTTTCTTGTGAATATGTATGTCAAGAAATAGAAACACCTATCCCTCACATACATTGTGCTTTAATAAAAAATAAATAATAAAATATAATAAATTTTTAGTCCTTTGTGACATAATCCAGCCCATTTTTCCTCAGGTTCAAGTCCTCCCCGGTGAATGACATCTTTTGCCAGGCTCTGGGTGGCTCCCCTCTCAGACCTCAGAGTCTGTCCCAGCTGGATCGTGAGCAGGAAGAGTTGCTCAAACCAGCGTTCAGCTCAAGCAGAGAAAGAGATCAGAGAGGATCCAGGGTAAATATGCATCTGCCCTTTATCTTCTGCATTAACACTAACCTAACTGCGGGATAAGTGAGCAATAATGAATGACTCCTGCTATAAATATTTTCGAAAGGACTCTTAAAGGAACACTCCACTATTTTTGAAAATAGGCTCATTTTTCCGCCAACATAACCAACGTGACCACTTGCTTGCACAGGGAGCGTGCGCTTTCCATTGGAAGTTACCTAGCTGGGACTATTTTCAGGCGCTGCGTAATATCATTGCGCCTGCTGCACCCGGAATGAGAGTATAGTTCCTAGCCATATCGGCCTAGAAAATCGCAGCTTTTCATTTTCCGTCGGTCTTAGTACACGATGTAACTACAGAAGAGTCACGTTTTAAATAGGAAAAATATAGAAACTCTTTGGTCTTTTTTGAGCGAGATGCTAACGGTCTAATCAGATTCAATGATCTATGCTAAGCTACAGCTAAAAGTGCTACCGCCAGACCCGGAGATCGGCTGAATGGATTCAAAATTGGTAGATCGGCTGAATGGATTCGAAAATGGTAAAACTCAACTGTTTAACTCTAGGGGAGTTGGAAAATGAGCCTATTTTCAAAAATAGTGGAGTGTTCCTTTAAAGTTGCTTTCTATTAAAGGACAATAACAAATTATATTTGCAAAATGAACAAAAAATAGTTCTGAAAAGTATATAAAAACTTTAATGTAATTTGTTGTAAAAATATTTTTTAAAATGTAATCCCTCTGTCTCCCTTGCTAAGGAGGACACACCTCCAGTGAAGGAAGAGGCGTATACCTCTACCCATAAGCCCCTGACAGTGGGCGGGCAAGCCCAGGTCACCGTTGGCACCACCCACATCTCTCGTCTGACTGATGAACAGCTGATCAAAGAGTTTCTGAGTGGCTCCTACTGTCTGCATGGGGTGAGGATGGATGGATGGGTTTATTTTCTATATCTGTGGATCTTTAAGTTGGACATATTCCCAATTTAACATATTTGTTTCTGTCTAGGGTGTTGGATGGTGGAAGTATGAATTCTGTTATGGAAAGCACGTCCACCAGTATCATGAGGTAAGATTGTGAAGTCGCTGAATTCTTATATAACAATTCCCAGTATAGTGTAAAGGTCTGGATTATGAGAGATGCTAAATTGCATTTTGTGCATTCGGTTGAAGGACAAAGAACAAGGGAAGAACATTGTGGTGGTGGGCAGCTGGAACACTGAGGATCATATTAACTGGGCCAAGACAAATGTGGCACGGTCTTATCATTTGAAAGACGATGGAGCGCAGAAAGTCAAGTATGATTATATTTCCCTCATATACAAGGTGCTTTAAAAAGAAAAACTGGATAATATAAATAAAACAAATTTGATATATATATACTACTCAAAAGTTTGGAGAAAAATCTAACAGACTCTAAATGGTTGTATGTGTGTGTGTGTGTATATATATATATATATATACACATACATACAGTGGAGATCAAAATGATAAAATCTATAAAAACGTAATTTTTCTGAAAAATTCAAAATCACTCAATTTGAGGGGATATTAGCTTTAAGTATACCACTGTTCCACTGACATGTTTGACAAAATAACTAAGGCATTTCAACAAAAACCTTTATTTTGTGGAAAACACAACAGAATTGGAGAACAGTAACCACTGTAGCACGAAAGAAGATTACAACTAAAATTTTAGTGGGTTACAGCTTTCAGAAATTAGTAGGAAGTGTAGAGGCCCTTGCTTTAAATGACTTCAGCACATCAGTGGCCGCAGGACATCACTACTTTCTCATGCGCTGGTGTGATCTCGGCCAACTCTTCTTCCACTCTCTTCCATAGTTTGGTAACTGTAGTGTTACCAAACACAAACAAACACCATAGTGGTTTCTTAGCCAAGGTTTTTCCAAAGATTTTCAATCGGGTTTAGATCATGTCTCTGGGCCGGCCATTTCATTATTTCAGTGTTCTTGACTTCAAGAAACTGCTTTACCTGTTTTGCAGTGTGACTGGGGCATTGTCTTGCATGAAAATTGCAGGCTGATTGGGAGATGCTTGCAGGGGAAGGTACCGCATGTTGCTGAAGGAGGTTCTGATAAACATTTGCATTCACTCTGCCATGTAACTGTATAGGAGGCTGAACTCCTGCTGCAGAAAACATACCCCAAACCATGACACCTCCTCCTCCACTTTTCACTGACTTCTTTACACACTTGTGCTTCAGTCTTTCCCCAGTTTGATGCCAAACAAAAGGTTTCCCATCAGACCCAAATAAATTAAACTTGCTCTCATCACTAAAGTGAACTTTGGACCAGTTCTCCTCTCTCCACACAACATGCTCCTCAGCAAAGGTGAGCTGAGCCTTTTGATTCTTTCTGCTGATGAGAGGCTTGGTCACTGCACAGTGTGCTTTTAGATGACTTCTCTTAAAAGTGCCAAGACAGATCCTTACCCTGTTCAGCACTGAACTGGCAAGCAATTCCAGCTGCAGTGTTGAACCGATTCCCCATTGAGAGTCTCTGCATTATCCTGTCCTCTTGTGCTTTTGTCTTACATGGACGACCTGCCTTTTTGGGGGGACATGAATTAGTGTCATTGTAAAGCCGCAATATTTGATAAATCAGATTTGGAACGACCAACTTCTCTTGCAATGGATGAGTCATCCCTTTGGGATTCATCTGGACAACCTCCTATCACAGAGTTTCAGTCACCTTAGAGCGGCCCGCCATCTTACAATCTCAGTGAAAATTGGAGGAATGCTGCCAGTTAAATAGGGTTTGTCATATAATTAAGGAAATTAGCACCAGGTGCCAGATTAACACCAATAACTTGGAGATACATGTAAGTGTTCTCTAATTTTGATCAGAGTTTTTTTGTTTTTTCAAATATCTCATTTAAGTTTTATACTGTGCTTCAGAATACAATTAATAAAATATGCTTCAAAAAACTGCCCTTCTACTCCTGTTACGATAACCTCAAATAAGACTAAACAGTGACCTTGAAATTTAGGAAATTGTAGGTTCTCTAATTTTGATCTCTATATATCTGTCAGATTTTAATAATATGTCATGTATGTTGTCTACCTCATCAGGGTCGTATCTCACTTTTATGGCCATGGAGATGTTTGTGACCTAACAGGGAAACCGAGACAGGTTATAGTCAAGCTCAAGTGAGTTACTCAAACTTCTTGATGCTATGAGGTTTTTGGGTTTCTTGAATGCTGCCACTAACACTTACCTGTTCTCTCAGGTGTAAGGAATCAGAGTCTCCTCATGCTGTTACAGTTTACATGCTGGAACCTCAGACCTGTCAATATGTTCTCGGGGTGAGTGGAAAACAAAATGACTTTGAGATTTGAATGCAATTTCAATTTTAATAATTGCACAGCCTTAGATGGTTCCAGTGATGAGCACATTGTGTTTTGATGTTATGGCTTACGAAAAGCTACAGTGTGATCATTTCATGTGGATAACCTTTATCCTGGTTATCATTCTGCCACAGGTTGAGTCGCCTGTAATATGCAAGATCTTGGACACTGCAGATGAAAATGGACTTCTTTCAATCCCTAGCTAGCCTAGATGGAGGAATGGATTTTAGCTTGGAGAACAAACAATACAGAAGAGGAAGGCAGGATGATTGTCAGAGGGAGAGATAAAGGTCTGATAAAGTCTAGTTCCATAGATCATGGCGATAACATGGACTTGCTGAACCTCAGGCCTCCACCCTTTGAGAAAGTCCCTCACTGACAGCACTTTCTCTTGTTTGAAGACTAAACACGGAGGAGATTTGATGAAACTTTTAAACCTGGAGATGCAGCTAGGGCTGAATTCTCAATGTTTTATTTACAAATCTCAAACCTGTTGAAGAATATTTTTGTTCAGCTTTTTCATGCTTTGGCACATTTAGATGGTTGGCTGTGGGAAAGTCACTTAAAAAATCTAATTAAATTATTAATTTGTTCTGTTAATCAATTGATTATACAAGTTGGTCAGCTGTTTTAAATATACATTTATTTATTTGATCAAACTTCTGGTAGTTCAGTGCTTGCCAGTATCAGTGTGCATATGGAGACGGTTATATTGTTTTTAAAAGTGATAGAAGTAGTAATTGTGCAATGCAAACTGCAAGGGAAAATACACTGTCTTGTATGCAAAGGAAAGTGAGTGTAATTAAACAGTTTTTTTTTTGGAAATCATGGGTCATTGATTTATGTTCACAATTTGTGATTACCCTCACTTCAATGTAACCACTTCCACTACTGTCCGATAATGTGTTTGGTGAAGGGCTCCTCTTAACTCGAAGAACAAATCAAGACAAAGATTATTTCCTTGCATTGCCTGCAATGCTGGTTCTTTCTCAGCCTGAACATGTTCAGTTGAATAAAATGAGTACCATGTTTCAAGTCATTTCAGAAGATTCATACACCACCTTAATGAATACACTGCAAAAAAATGTTCTTAGTATTTTTGACTGGTTTTCCAGTACAAATATTTAAATGTTCTTAAATCAAGATACATTTGATCTGCAAAATGACTCAAGAAAGTCTTGTTTGCTGAAAAAATATCAAAATTACTTAATTTATACTTTTATAACAATTCAAACAGAAAACAAGTTTATTTTTTGTACCCCATTGGCAGATATTTTTCTTGATTTAAGCATAAAATCACTGAATTCTGATATTTTTTGAAAAACAAGCTCATTGTACTGGAAAACAAAGCAAAAATTCTGAATAAGATTTTTTTTCATTTACAATGAAAATTAAACCAATATATTTTAGACAATCATTCAGACAGCGCTATTCATTATAACAAAGAAAATATTTCTCATGGAGAAATAAACATGCCTGTGCTAAACATTACGAATTGGCCAGAAGGGTCCATTTACCTACACTAGGTGGTGCTAGCGTCCCTTTTTGTTTATAGGTTTTGTTCACAGAGAACCAATGCGCTTACATAAAAAAAAATCCATAATTAGCTTATTAATGCTTAAGGCGTGTGAATACCTTAAAAGAGATGATCGACAAAGCAAACTACAGCAGTACATTAAACATCTGGTCTCAAATGAAATGTCAGGATACACTTGCAAAACATTTAATAAGTTCATATATAAAATGTAGGATGTTTCACAAATACATAATCTGTGTGAAGAATATTACATGAAAATGCCATGTAAATGTAAAAATAGAACATCCTTCAGTCCAGAAAATAGTGATAACACTTGGGGAAAGCGACAATTAGCTAGTCCCATTTTCTTTTTATTGGATACTCAATGACGCACATTGTCTCTTGAGCAAAACACCACTAGCAAACCACAAGCAAACACTATAAATGCTCCCCTTTGGATGCTGAGTAGGTAGCATGACGTTCTACAGCTCAGACTGATGGGATGGGAATCTGATGAGCTGAGGTGCTGTCAAAGTCCTGCAGCGCCTCCTGGTGGGTGTGGTAATGCATAGCCACGTAGCTTTTGGCAAAGGCTGTGTTTTGAGAGTTGACCCGCTGCATGCTGTTGGGGGAACTCGGGCCTGCTGACGGACTGCTGTTATAGATACTGTAGTAGGGCTCTATGCGCGTATTGATGGGTGTAGATGTGCTCGGGGGTCGGGGCTTGCGTCCAGTGGTGGCACAGGGACTAGGCATGCTGTCCCGGGAGTGACTGGGTCCGCAAGCCTGGTCCACCAGCCTCCTCTGGGGCTTCGGCGACAGCATGTATGCCGAGTTGGTCTCGTGGTGCGAGGACTTGTTGCGGTTGACTTCCAGACTTCCTTTGCCCATAGCGTGTAGGCGTGTCTTGTGCTTGCAGCACAGGAAGCCCAAGGCCACCCACTGGAGGCAGCAGAGCACACGGCGACGCAGACCTGCGCTGTTGCGCGAGTACACAAACGGGTTGATTCCAGACTTCAGGAAGATGAGGGCAAATCCACAGAGCTCGAACTGGTAGTGGACAAAACTGCTCTCCGGTGACACCATATCCTGCGCCAAAGATATACCTAGCGGTAGACAGCACAACAACACAGAGATGACGATGACTATGCATGTGACCACAGCCTTTGAATCCTTGGCTGTCGCCAGGTTAACTGTGGAGACCAACTGGCAGCAAGTTGCTCCAGTGGCAGCCCCAGGCACGAGGGGCTGGTTGGTTCTCCTGGTAAAGGAGTGCGGCTGGACATGTTGGAGCTTGTTGTAGGTCTGGTTGCGGTACAGCGAGGGCACCTGCACTGTACACTGCATGCCCTCGAAACCAGTGGCAATGAGCGGCGGATGAGAAGTAGGTGGACATGTCGCGTCCACCGTGATGATGGGACACTTCCGAACCTGAGCGTTCTTCCTCAACGCCTGAGCGATCATGAGGTATGAGATGGACACCACACCTACACAGAAAGCAAAGTCTGCAATGTATACGTACAATACTACCTTGGCCTTGTTGCCGGTAAGACCAAAGTGGGGCAGGCAAGGTCCGGAGCTCCTGGGATATGCTCGTAAGGTGACCAACGCCGCCAGTGTGAAACTGGTGGTCCATAACAATGCAGTGAGGACCAGAGTACAGGGGAACGAGGCTGTACGGTTGGGCTGCTGACCCAGGACCATGCGGAGCCGATGCAGGGCAATCACAGCCACCGTTTCGAGGGACATAATGATGAAGCCCGAACTGGTGAGGTGGAAGGCAAAGCAGAAGCCCTGGGACACGCCGCCACTAGCGTCTCCAGCATCCAGAAAGAGAACCAGTGCAAACATGGGCGCAGTGACGCAGCAAATGAACAGATCACAGAAGGATAGGTTGAGGATCATGAAGTCGAAGTTGGTGCGGAACTTGCGGAACGCCGGGTCGAAGAAGGACAAGAAGACCACCAAGTTTCCATAAGAACCGAGACAAAAGATGAGGACCAACAGGAGGGAACAGGAGGCAAGGGTAGCCGTGTGGATTAATGCCCAGCCACTCACAGAAGCAGACTGGCTCTGGGAGCTGTTGAAGCCCCGAGGTTTCGCAAACTCAGCCAGGTCCAAAGGCCAGGCAGTGCTGTTCATGGTACACATGGGGATGCAAAGTGATCACAGCCTCAGAGTGTTGCCTATCTTGCCTTTAGGTCACCCAAGAGCCAGCTAATACTCCCATTGTGCACATGGTTCATGGTAGACCCTCTGGATTGCTGCAAGGACACAAGAGATAAATAAATATTGATTAGTAATAGACAATATGTAACAATAAATGAACAACAAATAATTATGACAACGGCCTAATTCATTTTAATCTATGTGATATCTTTATCATCACTTGATGCACAAATTATTTGGAATTTCTTTAAAAACAAGAGCATCACGATGACTATTGTACCTTTATCTCATCCGTGCGCGTTCCCGTCATCCACAAATCTATCGATTAAGATGAGTACATGCCTGCAACAATCTGCATAGTATCTGAAGGCTTTTCTTATCCGTTAACCACCTCTGTTAAGAATTATATTACTGCAGGTGAATGTGTGCCGACTATAAAATCGTGTCAGAAATGCATCCAGCCCCAATCTTTGAAAGAACACATACAATAGATCACATGCATCATTAAAACAAACGTCCAATAAATATCTAATACATCGTTCAGTCCATACACACAGTCGCCCATAATAACCCTGCGGCTTTCTTTCTACACTTGCCGAAAAATTATGATTTTCTTACCATGGATTCCCTACGTGTGCCATTTTTAAAACACCGCGTTTTCCACATTTGTACAGATCTCCAAAGTGCATGAACGTTACAAACATCCTATTTAGAGAAAGAGTATCACAGCATAAGAATGAAAAACAGAGTGAATATAATGCGCAGGAGAGTGGGCGCGCCTCACTGGAATCATATTGAAGCCCGTGAATGGACAGCAAGCGCGTGCCCGTGAGAACAGGATGCTCACGCAGGAAGCACAAAGAGTCTAATTTTGTTATATATATATACACACATATTTTAATAATAATAAATAATATTTTTAATATTAATTATAGTAATTTTGTTCATTTAAATAAGAGCAGAGATGAGCAATTCTGCCGATTCCATTTTATTAATCATATTTTTTGATTACACAGGTACATACATACCAAGGCACACACAAATTTAAATAATATTATATACATTACGCATTTGAATAATATATCAAACAAATTGTTCTTTGTCAGCAGCAACATGGGAGAGGCACACACAAAAAAAGACTTTACCTGCATATTTTGTCACACTTTATTACAATCATTACTTGTCTTTTGTCAAATATTTGTAAAAGGAATATCAAGAAAAACTAACAAAAGTAATCAATTAGTCAAGCATTAGCATAGCATTACTTTGTGTTATAGCTTAGCCTACCAACCAAAGTTAAACCACACATTGGCTTATGACATGATTTTGACAGCGTTAATTATACTTAAAATGCAAGCTTGCCAACAAATCACTGCATTAATGTACAGTCTACAACTGCTGCTACTGACAGGTTCAGCAACGCTTGCTAACGGCAGGCAGTGTTGCCAACTGCTTTCAATTTAAAGTAGCTAAAACTGGTAGTTAAATGTCACTAGATGACATCACAATGGCAAATTCACTGATCTATATAAAGATGAACGTAGATCTTTGGGCAAGATGAGAACTTGGATAAGGTTTGTCCAAGAAGTTGCTATATTTGTCCTTAAACTTTTGAAAAAAGTCTCAAAAGGGGCGGGGAAGTCGCTAAATCTAGCTACAAAGTAGCTAAATTGGCAACACTGCTAGCACTACAGTGGCGGGCAAACTACGACCGAGTGGAAGCAAAACTCCGATTTATAAAGCAGAAAGCTGGCGAATTAGCACGGCAACTTTCACCTAAGTGCAAACAATGGATAGCGCACTTGACTGGACGTCTGAGCGACATAATTCCTGTGTTTGTGTCCACAAAAAGCTCCCTATCTACCACCTCCCTCGCGTCCCGCGTCCCCCCTCCCCTTCACACACACACACACACACACACACACACAGGCCAGCCTTTAAAAACATGTAGCGACAAAGCGCCGATCAATATGTTCACTTTCAGCGCCCACAGCGCGTGACGCGAACGCACTGGACTCCCATTGTCTTCCCATCCGTTATTGTTACAGTGTTTAGAATGTATCCAGTCTGGGATGATTAATATTGCTACAATGTATCCAGACAGAAAGGATATGCATATCTACAGTGTATCTAGT